GTGTGTGTGTGTGTGTGTGTGTGTGTGTGTGTGTGTGTGTGTGTGTGTGTTTCTTGGTCGACTGAAGCCGGAGCATAAACGCATCTCTCTTTCTCACACAAACCAGTTTATTTGCATCATTATGTGTATTTGTGTGTTTAAAAGGGCTGAGCATTTCGGGGTGTGTGGGAATTTCAGCTGTGTATTTTCCGAAGTTGCTCACATTCAGGCGCGTCGTTTGCTTGCCGATCGCCGTTCCACTAAGCTCCAGGCTCTGGGCCCTCTCGCCTCTCGCTGACCGCACAGTGATGCTGATCCGATACAGTTTGTTGAGATAAACGTGAGCATAAACAAAACTGACAGAGCAAAGATTGTACTCTGCACTCCAAGCAACAAAAAAACCTACCAGTTGTAACAAGCTCTGGCATAGCAGTGGAAAAAGGAACCTGGGATCTATTCAGTGTGTGCTAACCCGGGTGTTAAGATACTGGGAATGCTCTGGGATCAAGTAAGTGTCAGGTTTTTTCTCACTTTAAACTTCAGCAGCACAGTTTGATTTGCTTGTGCTGTAGTCTTTATATTTGATATGTTATCAGAAAAATGGGCTTAAGGAGCAGTAAGAAAATGCTACGACTTCCCCTAAAAAATCAAAAACCAAATCTGATCTTAAATCTGTTCATCCTTCAAACTAACTCAGAGAGCCTGTTCTGATCGAAACTTAAGGCAGAAGTGCGATCGATCGTTTTTCTTTCTGAGGGAGAGGATTCACCACGAATGACCCCAACTGTGTTTTGTGCCACTTCGCTGCGGGAAACTTTCCTTGGAAAACTCCATTTTTGGCCCCACCTACAAATAGATTTCTTTACAAATGACCCTTCTCGGTAGATTTCATCCTCTTTTCCCCATCTACGCTCACAGAATGCGCTGCAAATCTACAAGTGCGAACGATCAGAATGGGAAGTTGTGCAGAGTTGCAAAAGGAAACTACCTATTAGGCAAGCTATATTTAAATTATGCATTTTTTTTTATAGGCGGATGTGTGAAGCTAGTGTGTAACCGCTGATGTATCATTGCACAAACACTGTTGTGCTATTGTAGCTGGTCAACCTGATGATGGCTGCAGCTACGTGACAGTTATTTTAGTTCAGTGGTTTTCGCTCCTATAAATGGCCAAAAAGGTCATTCTGAGGCACCGTCTTCATCAGAATGAGAAGCAAATTTAAAATTTCACTCTAAAAGTTGTCATTGGACTGTTTCCAGTCGAAAAAGTCCAACAACTCTATCAACTGAAGCGTGTCAGCACTTCAGTCAAGGACCTAAGTGATCAAATTGTTGCTCTGCAGGAATCATGATTCATATCTCATAGTTAATGGAACTGAAATTAAACAGTTTTTGGCCGTGAAATGTAGTGAAGAAGAATAAAAATGTATTTTTAAAAATTATTTAACCTTTATTTATACAGGCAGTCACATTGAGATCCAATGTCTCATTTGTAAGAGAGACCTGTCCCAGACAAACAGATGCTATTAAAAGACTTTTAGTTTATTTTCTCCGTCACCTGTTGGTGTAACAACTATGAACCCACAAACGAGACACGACCTTTTCACATACACCTCTGCGGGGCTGTACGATATGACCAAAATCTCATATCCCGATGTGACATTTATCGTCCCGACAACGTTATATATCACAAAAATGTTACATTTTCGGTGAATCTCGGGCAACTCGATTTGCGTGCAGTGTTTTCAGCTGGGCGGCGTGTACCTGAGGTCGAGTGTTACATCAGTTTCTTTGTGAGTATTTATTACACGACGTGCTGCGGGGAAAAGCCTGTTCTAAGGTTTATTTTTTTAGCACCTGACGGCTCTTTTTAGATTCTCGTCCGTAAACGCTCTGCATACTATTTCACCTGATTCAGTTTATTTTGAAAATTCTCAACAGAATCTTCAGCTTTATTGTGAAAGGTTTATGTG